ACCGAAGAAAACCCATTCCAGGAAAGATTCAATGTTTTTGCAATTCTCGTATGATCTTCGAATATAAGGGTATACACCCCCCGGCGTCGTGCCGAAAACTATAACAAGAGCGGTAAGGGAGACGGTTTTGGGGGGAGAATGTAACACTGTACTATCTCGAGGGGATGAAATAACCCCAGGAGAATCTATTCCGGGAAAGATTCAATGTTTTTTCAGTTACCGTATGTTCTTCGAATGTCCCGGGTGGTATTCCATACTCCCTAGACCCCCCGGTGTTACGTTCGATAGCGTATTGCCAAAAACTGTAGTGAGAGCGGTGAGACAGTCGACTTTGAGGGAGGACTGTACGATATCGGGGGGGGGGGGGGAAAAAAAAACCCCAAGAATAAAATAACCCCAAGAAATTCTAATCCATGAAAGCTGAAATGCCCCTTTCAAGAAGAGTATGGGTTTATGACCCCCCACTGCAATGAGAGACGCGAGACAAGCGGGTCTTTGGAGAGAAGGTAACACCGGGAGGGTCTGGAGATAGGGAATACCATCGAGGAAAACCCATTTCAGGAAACATTGAATGTTTTTTATTCAATTATCGTATGATCTTAGAATGTATTGGGGGGGGGGGGTATACTTTATCCGCCCCAGATCCCCCGGTATAAATTTCGATGGCGTCTGCCGAAAACTTTAATGATAGCGGTGAGACAGGCGTCTTTGGGGAAGAGTGGGGGTATAGTATACCTCCCAACAAAATTTCATTCTAAGGAAAAATTTAATGTTTCTATCGATTAGCGTATGGTCTTCGTATATACTGGGAGACATTCTATACTCCCCCCCCCCCCCCCCGGGGATAAGTTCATGGCGGCATACAGAAAAGCTATATACGGGGGTATTTTATAAACAACCAGCTCCCCCCCCCCCCCCCACGTACTGAGTTTGATGGCATCTTGCTGAAAACTGCAATGAAAGACGCGAGACAAGCGGGTCTTTAGAGAGAAGGTAACACCGGGGATTTGGAGATATAGAATACAACCGAGGAAATCCCATTCCAGGAAAGATTCATTTTTTTTAAACTATGTCTTGCCGAAAACTATAATGACAGCGGTGAGACAGGCGGTTTTAGTGATAGTGTAACACCGGGGGGTCTGAGGGGTATGGAACAGCAAAATAACCGGTATTACGTACCGGTATTCCATAAAGAATACCACCAGTATATATGAAGATCACACGCTAATTGAAAGGAACATGAAGTTTTATCGGGGATGGATTTTCCTGGGAGGTATTCTAAACCTCCCAGCTTCCCCGGTGTTAAGTTTGATGGCGTCTTGCCGAAAACCGTAATCAGAGTGGTGAGACAGAGGGTTCTGGGAAGGATCTAACACCGGTTGCCCGGGGTATGGAAATTCCACTCCAGGTAGAATGCAATGTTCTTCTCAATTGGCGTATGATTTTCGTATATAGTAGAGGATAATACTCATTCCAAACCCCCCAGACCCCCCCGGTGCTGAGTTGCCGAAAACTGCAGTGAGAGCGGTAAGGCTGACAGTTTTGGGGAGAATGTAACACCGGGGGTCTGGTGATATGGAATACCTCCCAGGAAAATTCATTCTAGGAAAAATTGAATGTTCCTATCGATTAGCGTATGATCTTTGTATATACTGGGTACCCGGTGCTAAGTTCAATGGCGTCGTGGCGAAAACTATAATGAGAGCGGTGAGACAGACGGCTTGGGGGGGGGAATGCAACACTAGGATCTCGAGGGGATGGCCTAGCAAAAATCTATTTCAGAAAAGCTTAAATGTCCCTTTCAAGAGTATGGTCGTATGCATGGGAGGTATTTTATAACCCCCAGACCCCCCCCCGGTACTGAGTTTGATGGCGTTTTGTTGAAAACTGCAATGAGAGACGCGGGACAAGCGGGTCTTTTGAGAGAAGGCACCACCGGGGGGTCTGGAGATAGGGAATACCACCGAGGAAAACCCATTTCACAATGTTTTTTTCAATTACCGTATGTTCTTCGGATATACCGGGGGGTATTCCGTACCCCCTAGACTCACCGATGTTAAGTTCGTTTAATTCATTGTAGCATTCTAGAAAAAATGTGACGTTCCTATCGATTAGCGTATAATCTTCGCGGGGGGGAGGGGGGGTAATTTATAACAATCAGCCCCCCCCCCACAGTACTGAGTATGATGGCGTCTTTCTAAAAACTGCAATGAGAGGCGAGTCTTTGGAGAGAAGGTAACACCGGGGATCTGGATATGGAATACCACCGAGGAAAACCCATTCCAGGAAAAATTAATTTTTTTTTAATTACGTCTTGCCGAAAACTACAGAGTGAGCAACAAAGATTGAAGCGTGCCGCTTCAGCTAAATTGGCAATGTGCCGCTCATAGCATATGCTGATTTGATACAAGATACGAAATACGAATAGACGCACGTCACTGTGACAGCGCAGAACGTCATTTTCGTATACAACTACATACAAAGAAGGTAGTTTTGATATTAATAGGAACAAGCGGTGATGACGCACGCTTCAATCATTGTTGCTCACACTGTATAATGACAGCGGTGAGACAGGCGGTTTTAGTGATAGTGTAACACCGGGGGGTCTGAATACTCCCAGCAAAACAGCCGGTATTATATGCCGGTATTCCATAAAGAATACCCCCCAGGAAAATCCATTCCAGGAAACACTTCATGTTCCTTTCAATTATCGTGTGATCTTCGTATATACTGGGGAGACATTCCATGCCTCCTAGATCCCCCCCACCTTTGGTGTTAAGTTCCATGGCGTCATGTCGAAAACTATAATAAGAGCGGTGAGACAGTTCGCTTTGGGGGAGAATGTAACACTGTAGGATATCGGAGGGATGGAATAACCCCAGGAAATTCTATTCCAGGAAAGCTTAAATGTCCCGTGCAATAAGCGTACAGTCGTATATACCGGAGGGTATTTTATATCGATTCCAGGAACGATTCTATGTTTTTTTCAATTACGTCTTGCCGAAAACTATAATGACAGCGGTGAGACAGGCGGCTTTGGGGAAGAGTGTAACACCGGGGGGCCTGGGGGGTATGGAATACCGCCCCGCAAAATAACCGGTATTACAAACCGGCATTCGATAAAGAATACCCCCAGTATATATGAAGATCACACGCTAATTGAAAGGAACATGAAGTTTTTCCTGGAATGGACTTTCCTGGTAGGTATTTTATACCCCCTAGATACCCCCGGTGTTGTTTGATGGTGTCTTGCCAAAAACTGTAATCAGAGTGGTGAGATAGAGGGTTGTGGGAAGGATCTATCACTGGTTGCCCGTGGGTATGGAATACCCCCCAGTAAATTCCACTCCAGGTAAAATGCAATGTATACTTATACTTATTCCAGACCCCCAAACCCCCCCGGTGCTGAGTTGCCGGAAACTGTAGCGAGGGCGGTAAGGCTGACAGTTTTGGGGGAAATGTAACACCGGGGGGTCTGGGGATAATACCTCCCACGAAAATCCATTCCAGGAACGATTCTATGTTTTTTTCCAATTATCCTATGATCTTCGAATATACTGGGGGGATATTGCATACCCCCCCCCCTACCCTGGTGTTAAGTTCGATGGCGTCATGTCGAAACTAGGACGCAAGCTTAAATGTCCCTTTTAAGCAGATTATGATCCTATACATCGGGGGTTATTTCAATAACCCCCAGATCTCCGTACTGAGTTTGATGGCGTCTTGCTGAAAATGGGCTTTTGGAGAGAAGGTAAGACCGGGGGTTCTGCAGATTTGGAATACCACCGAGGAAAACCCATTCCAGGATTTAATTTTCAATTAGGTACCGTATGTTCTTCGGATATACTGAGGGTGTTCCATACCCCCTAGCCCCCCCCCCCTCCGACCCGGTTTTAAGTTCGATAGCGTCTTGCCGAAAACTATAATGACAGCGGTGAGACAGACGGTTTTGGGGATGAGTGACACACCGGTGGGTCTGGGGAGATGTAAGAAAATTCCAATGTTTCTTTTAATTCTCGAATGATTTTAGTGTACAATAAGGGGGGGGGGGTATTCCAAACCACTCGTTTTGCCATGTTCTGTGGTCTTACCGAAAACTGTAATGAGAGCGGCGAGGCAGGCGGTTTTGAGGAAAAGTGTACCACGGGGGAGGTCAATACCCCCTGGAAAATTCATTCCAGGATATATTCAATGTATCTTTCAACTACCGTATTATCTGTGTATATGTTGGGATCGGGGGGGGTATTCCATTCCCAATAGACCCCCTGGTGCCTTGTCGAAGACTGTATTCAGAGTGGTGAGACAGAGCGTTTTGGGAAGGATCTAACACCGGTGGCCCGGGGGAATAGAATACCCCCCAGGAAATTCCACTCTAGGTAAAATGCAATGTTCCTTTCAATTATTTTCATATAAGGTGGAGGATATACCTACTTATTCTATAGCCTCCACACCACCCGGCGCTGAGCTGCCGAAAACTGTAGTAAGAGCGGTAAAGCTGACGGGTTTTGGAGGAGAATGTAGGGTCTGGGGATGAGCCCACTGCTTACGTAGGTAAATTTTATTTCTCACCTCTGAGTACTCCTGATCGAACAGCCTCGTCGCCTGGTGCAGTGCGGCCGAGACGAGTATGTAAACTAAGCACTTATAAACGTTGGGCATCGTGCAGAATTTTCGCGCCAACGGCGCGTGACAGACGTAGATGTATCGCTGAACCGCCAACGCCAGCGTCAGCCAAATGCTCGCCGTATGGAACATGTTCGGAATGACCTGCGAACAAACGCTAGTACGCTCCCGACACTTCACGAACGAACTCACCTCGTGCATCACCGTCCAAGCGTAGCAAACGCTGATGGGCCAAAGCGGTTTGTAGTGGTTGCCGAACGTGTACATGTAAATCAGCCACGGCGCGGGGAACAGCAACGTAAACATATCACAGAGTGCCATCGCCATCAGGACGACGTTCGTCGGCGTCCGCATGTGCCTCTTGCTCAGCACGACGACGATAAGCGTGTTCGCTATGATCGTTACGAACAACAGAAAGGGCATAACGTAACCGTACATCGGCACCGCGTAGTTTATCGGTAGCTCGCAGGTGACGTTGACGAAATCCCTTATCGCGTCGCAGGAGAAGTTTTGGTCGGTCGAGCGGGCGTCGAGCGCGCTCGTAGCGTTCTCGTCGCCGTAGGAAGCGTTGGGGGTGTAGATTGCGGTGGGTAAGGCAAAGTATTCCTGCATTGTGTCCGTTATCTGTGCCATTGCGATTTAGGCCCGTATCGTCCGCATTACGCTCTACGTCAGTCTTCTTGGTTTATTTTCAATGATGCTGAAACAATAATAATAACATTAGCGCATTGAAATCCTTCGTTTCAGTTGCGTTTCAGTTTCGTTTCAGTTTCGTTTCAGTTTCGTTTCGTTTCGTTTCGTTTCGTTTCGTTTCGTTTCAGTTTCGTTTCAGTTTCAGTTCAGAGTAAGTAGCATAATACCTTGCAGGAACCCAAAATGAGACTTCTGACCACAAATTTACAGTTTCCTGCATTTCTGTGATCCTGGTAAATAAGGGAAATGTTATCAGAGGAACGGCATATATGTGAGCACAAGTTTTAGAGATTCATCAACTCTGGAAAGAGTAATCTTTATTAGGATAACAGAACGTATGGGGTTCTGTACAGGTTTCCACGTTTCGTCACAAAAACAACTTCGCAACGAGAGATTTGGCACAGAAAACTAGAATCAACCTGAATGTCTGCGATCCCGGTACAGCAGTTCTGATAAGGAACGTTTATATGAATAGATCAGAATGCGTGTGAAGTTATCCGAATAAAAATTTTACAGCTTCCTGCCTTCCGTGCCCCTGGTATAAAAATTCTAAACCCGCAATATTTATCAGTACACCACGAGAATGTTTGAGAAGTCGGATGGTCACATGTTTCTCAGTTTTTCTCACTTTAATAAGACAAATTTAAACCAGGAGATCAGAACGAGACATTGTTTGATCATAAGTTTCACAGCCTTCTGCGTTTCTGTAATCTTGATACGTTATTTTCTGATTTGAGATATTTTTTGTACATAAATTTTAGTTTCTGATAAAGGAAACATATATCAAAGGGTCTGACTTTATAACTTTTCGCAATTTTGTGACCCTGATACGATAATTTGAAAATTATTTTGAAAGGCAGAATGCGCGAGAAGAGCATTGCATGTGTATAACTAGCCGTATCAGGAACACAGGAATGACAGAGAACCCCTTCTCATATTATGCTCTCCTAATACATCCCGGAACAACAAACCTGATACGAAAAATTTATATCAGGAGATCAAATGAGACATTACCTGATCACAAGATTTATAACGTCCTGTATTTCTGTGGTTCTGATTTGGATTAGAGAAGATTGTACTATGAAATCTCCATGCGCCAGAAGGTGTCCTGACGTGCCAACACAAGGGTTTTGAGAAATACGTATCAGGAGATCATAATTGGTGAGAAAGTATCTAATGACAACTGCCGTTTCTGTAATCCTGATGGACCAACATTTGTGTATGATTTCAAAGTACAAATTCTGTGATACTGATACTAATTTGAAAAAAAAAGAGGTTGTCTGGTGACAAATTATACAGATTACCGGGTTTTTGTAATCACGATTCACATTAGACTATACAGCCTACAGGTTTTCCGTTTCTGTGTTCCTAATACAACAATTTGAGATTAGTCTGTTAGCAGCAGAGTAGAATACGTTAAAGGGTGTTTTAAGTGTAAACGTTAGGGTTTCTGTTACACTGATACAACAATTTCAAATAATGCTAACAGGAGATCAGAATGCACAAAAATATATAGAAATGTATGTAGTCCTAATATGTAAATACTGATAAAGATTATGAAAAGAAATATCTGTATACTTGGGAAGGCGTCTAAAACAAATTTTATATCTTCCTGCATTCCTGTGATCCTGCTACAATGCTTATATAATACCCCCCAGTAAAAGGAAAATTCGATGGCCTTTTTCCCACAATCATCACCATGAGATCATTCTTATACATAAACATACTCTTCGTATGCTGGGGGTATTCCATACCCCCCAGGCCCCCTGGCGTTACATTATTCCTCAAAGCGGTACTTAAGCATTTATACCAGGAACTCAAAATGCAAAAGAGTTCTGACCCCAAGTTTACAGTTTCCTGTATTTCTGTGATCCTGGTAAATAAGAGAAATAGTTATCAGAGGACAGCATATATGTGAGCACAAGTGATACAGATTCATTCAACTTTGGAAAGAGTAATCTTTATCAGGACAACGAATGTATGAGACGTTGTCGGATCATAAGCGTTACTTACAGCTTCTCACCTTTCGTCACAACAAAAACAACTTCGCAACGAGAGGTTTGGCTCAGGAAACTAGAATCAACCTGGATGTCTGTGATGCCGGTACAGCAGTTCTGATAAGGAACGTTTATATGAACAGATCAAAATGCGTGAGAAGTTATCCGAATAAAAATTTTACAGCTTCCTGCCTTTCTGTGATCCTGGTACAAAAATTCTGCACCTGCAATATTTATCAGTACACTAGAATGTTTGAGAAGTTGGCTGGACACATCTTTCGTACTTTGATAAGACAAATTTGTACCAGGAGATCAGAACGTTATTTTTCAAAGGGCCAAAGATAATACGTGAGATATTTTTTGATACATACCTTTAGTTTCTGATAAGGGAAGCATATATCAAAGGGTCTGACTTTATAACTTTTCGCAATTTTGTGACCCTGATACGATAATTTGAAAATTATTTTGAAAGGCAGAATGCGCGAGAAGAGCATTGCATGTGTATAACTAGCCGTATCAGGAACACAGGAATGACAGAGAACCCCTTCTCATATTATGCTCTTCTAATACATCCCGGAACAACAAACCTGATACGAAAAATTTATATCAGGAGATCAAATGAGACATTACCTGATCACAAGATTTATAACGTCCTGTATTTCTGTGGTTCTGATTTGGATTAGAGAAGATTGTACTATGAAATCTCCATGCGCCAGAAGGTGTCCTGACGTGCCAACACAAGGGTTTTGAGAAATACGTATCAGGAGATCATAATTGGTGAGAAAGTATCTAATGACAACTGCCGTTTCTGTAATCCTGATGGACCAACATTTGTGTATGATTTCAAAGTACAAATTCTGTGATACTGATACTAATTTGAAAAAAAAAGAGGTTGTCTGGTGACAAATTATACAGATTACCGGGTTTTTGTAATCACGATTCACATTAGACTATACAGCCTACAGGTTTTCCGTTTCTGTGTTCCTAATACAACAATTTGAGATTAGTCTGTTAGCAGCAGAGTAGAATACGTTAAAGGGTGTTTTAAGTGTAAACGTTAGGGTTTCTGTTACACTGATACAACAATTTCAAATAATGCTAACAGGAGATCAGAATGCACAAAAATATATAGAAATGTATGTAGTCCTAATATGTAAATACTGATAAAGATTATGAAAAGAAATATCTGTATACTTGGGAAGGCGTCTAAAACAAATTTTATATCTTCCTGCATTCCTGTGATCCTGCTACAATGCTTATATAATACCCCCCAGTAAAAGGAAAATTCGATGGCCTTTTTCCCACAATCATCACCATGAGATCATTCTTATACATAAACATACTCTTCGTATGCTGGGGGTATTCCATACCCCCCAGGCCCCCTGGCGTTACATTATTCCTCAAAGCGGTACTTAAGCATTTATACCAGGAACTCAAAATGCAAAAGAGTTCTGACCCCAAGTTTACAGTTTCCTGTATTTCTGTGATCCTGGTAAATAAGAGAAATAGTTATCAGAGGACAGCATATATGTGAGCACAAGTGATACAGATTCATTCAACTTTGGAAAGAGTAATCTTTATCAGGACAACGAATGTATGAGACGTTGTCGGATCATAAGCGTTACTTACAGCTTCTCACCTTTCGTCACAACAAAAACAACTTCGCAACGAGAGGTTTGGCTCAGGAAACTAGAATCAACCTGGATGTCTGTGATGCCGGTACAGCAGTTCTGATAAGGAACGTTTATATGAACAGATCAAAATGCGTGAGAAGTTATCCGAATAAAAATTTTACAGCTTCCTGCCTTTCTGTGATCCTGGTACAAAAATTCTGCACCTGCAATATTTATCAGTACACTAGAATGTTTGAGAAGTTGGCTGGACACATCTTTCTTACTTTGATAAGACAAATTTGTACCAGGAGATCAGAACGTTATTTTTCAAAGGGCCAAAGATAATACGTGAGATATTTTTTGATACATACCTTTAGTTTCTGATGAGGGAAGCATATATCAAAGGGTCTGACTTTATAACTTTTCGCAATTCTGTGAGCCTGATACGATAATTTGAAAATTATTTTGAAAGTCAGAATGCGCGAGAAGAGCATTGAATGTGTATAACTAGCCGTTCAGGAACACAGGAATGACAGAGAACCCCTTCTCATATTATGCTCTCCTAATACATCCCGGAACAACAAACCTGATACGAAAAATTTATATCAGGAGATCAAATGAGACATTACCTGATCACAAGATTTATAACGTCCTGTATTTCTGTGGTTCTGATTTGGATTAGAGAAGATTGTACTATGAAATCTCCATGCGCCAGAAGGTGTCCGGACGTGCCAACACAAGGGTTTTGAGAAATACGTATCAGGAGATCATAATTGGTGAGAAAGTATCTAATGACAACTGCCGTTTCTGTAATCCTGATGGACCAACATTTGTGTATGATTTCAAAGTACAAATTCTGTGATACTGATACTAATTTGAAAAAAAAAAGAGGTTGTCTGGTGACAAATTATACAGATTACCGGGTTTTTGTAATCACGATTCACATTAGACTATACAGCCTACAGGTTTTCCGTTTCTGTGTTCCTAATACAACAATTTGAGATTAGTCTGTTAGCAGCAGAGTAGAATACGTTAAAGGGTGTTTTAAGTGTAAACGTTAGGGTTTCTGTTACACTGATACAACAATTTCAAATAATGCTAACAGGAGATCAGAAAGCACAAAAATATATAAAAATGTATGTAGTCCTAATATGTAAATACTGATGAAGATTATGAAAAGAAATATTTGTATACTTGGGAAGGCGTCTAAAGCAAATTTTATATCTTCCTGCATTCCTGTGATCCTGCTACAATGTTTATATAATACCCCCCAGTAAAAGGAAAATTCGATGGCCTTTTTCCCACAATCATCACCATGAGATCATTCTTATACATAAATATACTCTTCGTATACTGGGGGTATTCCATACCCCCTAGGCCCCCTGGCGTTAC